TAGGGAAAGGGGATCTGGAATGCAGGGGGTGATGGCTATTTTAGATATGGTAGTCAGAGAACACCTCATTAAAGCGATAGCTGAGTAGAGATCTGAAGGAAATGAGGGTGCTAACCATGCAAATTTCTAGGGAGAATGTTCCAGACAGCACGAAGAGGGAGTATAAGAGCTCTGAGGTGTTAAAGTGGCTCGTTCTAGGAAAAGCAAAGGAGCCAGTGTGGCTGAAGTACAGTTAGTGGCAGTTGGCCAAATGAGAGAGGCAGCCAGGATCAGATTAGATTTCAGTGGGCCTGGTAGACCACAGTAATAACTTTGGCTTTTAATGGGGAAGATCTGGGGAGCCACTAGCAGGGTTTGAGGTGAGGAGTAACAAGACCTGATGTTTCAAAAGGTGGCTCTGGCTGCTGTATGGAAAATGGACTGCAGGGGGCAAGCACAGCCTGCTTGAGCTGGGCGCTCTAGATACGTACGTGCTGCACCCTCTGAAGGAAGCAACCTTCTCTCCTTCACTCACCACGTGATGTACCTAACTCCAAATTGTTTGGATTCAGCTCACAAGCCTCCTAGGGGAGGCCTTCTCTGAAACCTACCCCTCTTCTGGATGCCCATGGCACTCTGCCTTCATAGCACTTATCACATGGGATATAAATGTCTGTTTCACAACTGCCTCCTCCACCAGACCAAGGGCACCCTGGGAGCACAGACCTAGGCTTTATAGTCCCAGTTATCTTGCACAGTATAGGCTCAATCAATACTTAAAGACAAAATAAAAAGCATTTCTACAACTATGTTTTACAAAAGTCAACCTTAAGTACAGGATGAGAGACATGGCCTTACAGTACCCAACGTAAAAAAGAGCTAGGGTTTAAGTGATCCTAAGTTTAATGAGAACTAGCCATTGATATTTGGCTGTTTAAAGTAAACACACACTTACCAAGAAAGGGAGGACATTACAAGTATACACTGACCTACTCAGCAACTGCTACAGGTCAGATATCGGGATGGATGTTCTCAGACACATCTGTTGTCTACCCTTGCATGGTTAGTATAACCTCCACTTTACAAGGAGACTGAGGTTCAGAAAGAAGAGTTATGTCCCCCCACCCCCAAGGACACAGGTCAAGGGAAGAGCTGAACATATTACTGACCACAGCCAATGAGGTCCCTGCCCTCAGGGAGCTCATATTCTGGTGGAAGAGACCTTCAAAAAACAAGTGACCAAGATTCTTGCAGAGAACAGGGACAGGGCTAGTGGGTAGGGGATGCTACTTTGTCTAGTGTGGTCAGGAACACCTGAGGATGTAATCTTCAAGCCAAGAATTAAATGGTGAGAAAGAAAAGCACTCTAGATAACCGGATGAAAGTAAAGGCAGTGAATGAAAACAAATTTGGCATGTTCAAGGACCAGAGGGATGACCATATTGCCAAGTTTTTTTATTCTTTACTAATTAATCCAATAGGCAAAAACCAAATAACAGAAAGCCAACCTTTTTTTAATTTTTATGATTAGTAAAGTTAAAATGAAATTTACTGTCTTTATCTTTCTTTGAGTATTGATTTTCCTACAAATCTTACTGATTTTCAAAATTCGTATTTCAGAAATATTAGACTTTTGTCCACAAAGCTTACACCAAGCACTTTATTTTTCTCCTACTTTTATCATTTAATCTTATAATTTTTTTCAATAATCAGAGGTTTAAAATTTTCACGTAGTCAAATTTAATAAAAAATGTTTCCTGTAAGATTAGAGAATAGCTTCTCCAACTTAATCCCAATCAGGCAGCTTGGGGCTAGGCATGGGTGAGTGGGGGCCATAAGGTCTAGAGGGGGTCTCCAGGAAGTACAGGACACCAGCTACCTGTCTGGGTTTCGAGGAAACTGCTTAAAACCAACCTCATTCAGCCCTAAAGGAGCCAACAAACAAAATAAATGTTGCCAAAAGGTCACAAGCACCAACAGGGACATTTTCTGATGGGAAAGGATAGTTCTAATCAGGAATCCAAGTCGTGCCAGCTCTGCCTCAAATTTTGTTATCCCTAAAGCGCTAGCCGACTGGTACCAGAAACATCTGAATGGATATGCAGCCCCCCAGGGACAGCGCACATCTCTAACTTCCTGTTCCGCTCCTAAAGAAAGCCCAACTGGTATCCTCAGCGTTCTAGGTTTACAGTACTATTAACATGAATATCTGCATCAGGAAATAGACAAAGCTCCTGGGTTTTCAGTTCTCAGGTATGTGTCGCTGAAAGATGGAAAAACAAGTAGCAATAAAACTCCAGAATTATTTATTGGTTCAGCATGGGAGGGATAACCATCTGAAGCAAATGATTCACAAAGGAACTGTAACCAATCTGACTACTAAGCATAAAAATTTTAATTTCTATGAAACAAAAATGAATTAAAAGGATAGAAAAACATCTGCATCAAATACAACAGAAAAAAAATAATTCCAAAACATTACACAAAAAGATTAAGAAAAACATCAAGTCTCTAAAAGTTAAGATGGACAAAAGGATACTAGCAGAAAATACAAGAGAAATTACAAACGCGTAGAAAAATGTTTAGTATTCCCTGTAAATAAAGAAATGAAAAATTATAGCAATGCTGAGGTATCTTTTTAAATGCTGGCAATGATATGGCAAAACTGGTACAAAGGCAATACAGCCATCTGAAAAAGTTACAGGACAACACTATTGCAAGGACCATAAAAATGCTGGTCCCTTTGCCTCAGAAATTCTTTTCTTGATAATTTCTAAGGAAGTAATCTAATAATCTTTTTCAAAAGAAAAATGAAACAAATTCTATACATGCAGAGGTACTCATCACAGCGTTATCTGTACTCATGAAGAACTAGAAGCAATCCAAATGTACACCAGGGGAATGGTTTGGCAAATTATGGTACAACTCTTTCACTGACTATTATGTAGTCACTAAAAACAATTCATCACAAAGGTGATGTAGCAACAAGATTAAATATCTCTGGACATAAACAAAAAAGAAAAACTAGTATATATATCTTGAAAAATATGCATATGTGAACGGAGAGGAAGAAAAACATACAGAGATGAAAATAATTGTGTGGTGGAGTAAAACTGAATGAGAATTATGGATGATTTTTATATCATCATTCTAAAGGACAGTTTGGCAGTTTCTACCAAAATGTATAATATGCATGCCATAAGTACCACTTCTAGGAATCTGTCAAACATAAACACTACATAATTACTAGTATGAGTGTAAAAAAAAAATAAAAAAGACAAGAAGTTACTGCAGCATTGCCAGAAGTGAAAAACTGTAAACCACCTAATTGTATATACTACAACAGAACACTATACCGTCTTTAAAAAGAATGAAGTAGATTTTATGTACTGACATGAAAATGTTTGATATTTTTAATGAACAGTTGCAGAATGAGATATCTATACATAGCCTAAAGTAAACTTAATACGTATAAACATATATGTTTCCAGTTTCATGCAATAAACAGCTTATATGTAAATGTGCTTAAGCACTAAACCAATGTGGAAGTTAACACACCCAACTGCTGACAGTCATTACCATAGGGGAGTGATATGGGACTACAAAGCACTTTCTACATTATGTACTGTGGTACTATTTGAATTTGTTAAAATGTGCATCTAAGTATGTTTTGCTTTTAAGAGTATAAACACACAATTGCATAGTACAGATTGCAGCAAGCTACAAAGAGGAGGCATATACATGCTTATACAAGATACACAAGAAACTTATGTGAACAAAGAGGAAGAAAACACAGAGATGAAACTTGTATATCTTGTATATATATGTAATAAAAAGGGGATATACATACTTGTAAGAAATATACAAGAAACTAACCATGTTTCTGAAGGAGACTGAGGCTGGGGCTCAGGGTTGAGTGGGAGATTCATTTTTCACTTAGATCCATTCAAATTATTTTTTTTTACTGCATGTAAATATTATGTTAAAATTACTTTTTTAGTTTAAAAGTGATGTGAAAGATAAAATTACATATGTCTGAAGCATTATTACATGTTTTTAATGATGTGAAGTCATTCTTTGGGGTGTAATAGTACATGAAAAAAGCAGAGTCCACAACTGTACGTTCAGTAGGAGCTAAACTATATAAAGCAAAAACAAGTGAAAAAGAATACAAGTAATATGTAATATGCCTAATTCTAAGTGGTTACCTCTAGGTCATGGCACTGTTTCTTTTTCCTTTTCGATTTTCTTATAGGCTTTAAAGTTTTAAATAAAACTTTTGAAAAGGTAATATATTCATATGGCTTAACATTTCAAAGGTCTTTTCAAGTTTTTTACAAGTTGGGAGGATAGAAAACTAGAGGAAAAAAAAAAACCCGTAAAGTCGTAAAGAGCCCACAGTTCCAGCCGTAAAGCAGGAGGCTTTGGGATCCCCAAGGGTGGACCTGCCCGTTTCTGACTCACGCACCAAGTCCCTGCAGCTCCAAAGAACCACACAGACAGAAAGGCAGCACTCTAGTTTCTAGGGTTCAAATCCACCTCCGCCAGTTCCTGGGACAAGGCACTTAGCTTTCCAGGGCTTTGGATTCCAAGTGTGTAAATTGGGGATAATGGTCGTACCTATCTCACAGAGATGTGGTGAGGAAAACCAAGATACAGAATTTAGCAGTGCCTGACACATTAAGTTTCCAGGAAACGTTACCGTTTTTATCGCACAAGGCCCAGGATGCTACGATGCTAGGGCCTGTGGGCGGCCTCCACATCTCGTCAGTCCCTAGCCAAAACCCTTGCTCCTACTTCCGGTCAAGGAGCAGCGGGATTCCGTGGCTCCGCTCGAATCCCCTCAGTCAGGGCCTAGAGGGCCTAGAGGCCCACGCCTCCCGGGTTCCGCCCTCCAGTCAGCTCAGGCCCAGCCCCGCCCTTTCCCAACCCGGCGGTCTAAAATAACCCCGGAGGATGGAAGGTTAGGCACAGGGGTGTGAGCAGCCGTCCTTGGCACCGTCCGGCCGCCAGCCCTGAGAACCGAGCAGTCACTCACCATCTCGAACCGATCAGGGAGCTCCGTGTCGCGGGCGCTCAGCACGGTCCCAGTGCCTTTCCGCGCCTGCGCAGAGCACCCTGTCAAAACGGACAGCTTCAGTACCCAATCAGGAACCAGTGTGAGGCGGGAGGGCATGCGAACCCTAGGCAGTTCGCCCAGGGCTTGTGGGGAATTTGCCCAGCGACGTCTGAAGTGAAAAGCGAAGGAGTTCCGCTATAGAAAGTTCCCAGCTGTCGCTGTGCCGAAAAGATGCCGGTTCGCGGTGTCGGAAGAGGCTTTTAGGGTGTTGCTAAGACCCCGTTGCGCCCAGATTGAGGCAAAGTGAGGCGCGGAGGCAAAATGCACCAAAGATGAGGAAAATTTGGGGTTTACGCTGCAGTCTGTCTCAGAGATCTCCAGAGCGACCTCCTTGGGAATATTCCTTGCAGGCCCTGATTTAGTATTTAGGATTAGCCTGGGAGTCTGCAGATTTTAGGACTCTGAGCTCAGCCCCACTCCTTTGTTACCTTGGAGGAGGCACTTCACATTTGTGTGCTCCCTCATTTTCTCACTTTTAAAAGGGTCTTCTCAGAGCCCTGTGCTGTCCCTTTTCTCACTCTTTAGCCTTCTACTCCTGCAGGCCACAAAATTTCTAGGTTCTCTAGCAGGAAATAACTTATTAGAACACACTGTCATTTAGTGAACTTTGTGTGCCACGTTACTGGACAGAACACTTACACACGCACTATCTCCAGTAACCTTAGCACCCCTTTACAAATGCTGTTTCTTCGAGACACGAGTTTACTGAATTCAACACAGATGATTTAACTTCAAATTTTCATTCCACAGCAGCCTCTCAATTGAGAAAGGATTTGGAGCTCTTTCCAGGGGTATCTGCATGTTAGGAGCGTTGGATAGTGACTTCAGTGAGGAAACCTGGCAGACACCATCTTAACCAGAGGTTCAAGATTACCATTACTGATAATGGGGTTTTTTTGATGTGTGTCTCCTGATATCATGTACTAAGTGCTTATCACCTCTATGGTATTTTTCACAAAAATCCATGGCCTTAACCATGAGAAAACATTCAACCAAATTTGAGGACATTCTACAAGGTACCTGGCCAGTACTCTTCAATGTCAAGGTCATGAAAGATATGAAATGAATGAGAACTGTCGCAGAGTGGAGGAGACTGAGAAAAACATCACTGGTGGAAAAATTAGCGAAATCTGAATAAGGGCTGTAGATTAGTGTTTTTACCAATGTCGTTATTAGTTTTGATAATTGTACCAAGTTATACGGGATGTTAACATTGGGGAAATATGGGTGAAGGGTGTGCAGGAGCTCTCTGTACTCTCTTTGCACAAGTTCTGTAAGTCTCTGTAAGGGCTGCAGAGACTGGACCTCAAAGCATCCTGGAAGATAAGCACACAAGGGATCACCACACCATCTTATACAGAGAACCAGACTGAGAGGAGTGGAAGGATTTAATATCACAATCACAGAAGAAAAAAAGAATGGCCAATAGTTCATGTGACTTTAATCAGAATGAGGTGAGAGTTTGGGACTGTTGACCCTGAATGCCAGCCTTATGAGTTTTAGAGTTTTTTTCTGTGGTAATGGAGGAACCACTGTAGATTTTAAGCATGGCAGAAGCATGAGACTGAAATCTTCCACAGAAGCAGCACAGAGGGACTAAAGGGGAAAGAATGGAAGCAATCACAAGAGGTTCTTACACTCAACTAGGAGGGTAGGAATGAAGATGTAGGCTGTGGCAATGGGGGTGGCTCTGAGAGAAGTGATTCAAAAAAGTTTTGGAGCCGGATTTAACAGGATTTGTAAACCAATTAGGTGAAGAGCTGAATTGGTTATGGAAGACTCGGTTAAGGTTGTGATTTGTGAGTAGCAGTACAGTAAAACGTGGTCAAGAGTCTTGGATCCCAATGTGCACTCCTGCCACTGAATAGCTATGGAAACTTCAAGTTACTCAATCACTTTGACCCTCTGGTTTTCTTATCTGTAAAACAGATAATTACCCCTGAGAGTGGCCAGGATAATGACTATATGTAGCATATCTAATAGTGTTTGGGATATAGTAATAAATGCTGACAGTCCTGGGACTAAGTGAATACAAGTGTGGTATTTGGTTGCTAGGATAGGGAAGACAAATAAAAGAGCAGGTCTGAATCAGAAATGAGGAAAAATAACAGTATAGATGTTTTCAGTGATATGTAGGTTATGACTGCAAATTCTCAAGGTCCTTCCCTATGAGATGCTTTGAAGAAACCCTCTTATCCACAGCATTTTTGCTTAATGGGAACCTGTTCTGAGACCAACACTGTCCTTCTGAGGTCTCCACTAAAGACCCTACTCTTCTTGCCAACCAGGAAAATTCTCCTGGTTCCTTCCCTCCAAATGTCCTGACCACAGAGGAGCCCGATAGACATAAAAATTGACAACTGAAATGGGTTAGGAGAGCAGTTTCTGTTCTGGAGTTACATAATGTGAGACATTCTTCTTAAAAGTTCAGAGAACAGCAGCCAGCCAGCCACAGCTGAGTCCCAGTTTGATTCTTTGTAGAGTTTGGGGCTGGAGAGCCAAATCACTACATATTTTCCCATGGAAGGTTTCCTCATGCTGAGGGGAGCACATCTTCCCCTTTTCTCAGCCACACTGAAGTTAGAGCTTTCTAAGATGCTAATATGGGACAGATTAGTTTCTACTAATAGAAACTAATAGTTTCTACTTCTCAATACCTGGGAGGGACCTGCAGTTTCTGTCCTCTAGTTACTGTTAGACCAGCATATTAAGAAATCTCACTTCCCTTAGCCACTCTCCACTGGTTCTATTTTAAACGAGAACATGATCACCTGTTTTCCTAATAAGAAAAAGGTCTACTGAAGCAAGTGAGGACAGCTTATTGAGGTCAGTCTTGGAAGGTAGCTGGTGGTTCTCAGCACCCACGGCTGGGGTCCGATCGTAAGAGGACCTACAGTTGCGTCAGAACAGCAGATGTCTTCATCTTAGTTTTCTTCTAACATAAGTGACAAATCCAATCTCACCTTGGTGGGTCTATCTAGGTTTTTTCCTACCCACTCCACAGTACAGACAGGCTGTAACCTGGTCATTTACATATGCAGAGAGGCAAAAATCTACACGATCTGGTCATACAGAACGTTTCTCTACTGGTGGAGAAAAGCTTCTTACTCAAGACTAACAGAAGTGTGCAAATGAAGGAGCAAAAAAGTTTAATTATAAACAGTCTTACATTTTAAGGAAATGCAAGTGAGGCAGCCCCCCTGAAGGACCTTTATAAGAGCACTTGACTCCCTGTGATACTTGTAGAGTTACCTGAGTATTTGAAATTACAGTTTAAGAAAAAAAAGGAATGCCAATACAGTAATATACAATCCAGTGCTGCTATTCCATTTTTAGTTACTAAAAGCATAGCACATATACAAATAATTTTATAAATAACTCGAAAACAAACAAACAAAAAAAAATGAGGGGGGCTGGAGATACCAACAGTATTAAATAGAAGTAGGTAACCTAAAGGATTTGAGAAGAATGGAGTTACATCCAAAACAAGGAGGAATATAAATATAGAGAAGTCTAATACTCCATGAGTCCTTTCTGATAACATTTTAGATTATTAACCAGATAAATAAAAAGTGGCAAAGTGGGCTTGATTGAAATAGCTCATTTAGGTTGAGACTTTTGTGGGCAAGTAAGTCATGTTTCTCTTAAATTTCTGAATTGACACTGGTATGTCAATCTCTTGGTGAAAAATTAGTACCCGAATCTTAAATAGAGTTATTGTAAGTCTTACGAAATCAGATTCTTCTGCACAATATAAGATCATAAAAGACAGAGCAGAAATTCATTATTATAAGCGCTGGATCAGTTTTAAACCACTCTATTGAATAAAACAAGTGAGGTTCTTCCCTCCTGACCCAGGCTGTGAAATGCTGCTTTCCCCAACCTCCCCAAAGAGCAGAAGAATAGGGCATTTGCTCATTTTACTTTGTTTTTATTTCAGTATAACATGCAGTAAAAAAATTTTAACAGAATTTATTAGCATTTACAATGCTTACAGAGAAAAAGGACTCTAAAAGCAATTTAGTTCAGATTTAAGAAATCGCTCTAATTAAACACTTACAATAAATCTATTTCCAAATGTTCAGTTTGGACTAGAATTTAAGATAGCATTTGGTAGATATTTATGTCTACTGTCTATTTGCGGTATTTTTATAAAACCTCTGATTCTTGGGATATCCAGCCCCCATTTTCCTAACACAGCAGGGAAGACATATACATGTGGCCACTTAAATAAAGGAAGAAATGGGATAAGGGAGATCCCAGGCTGCAAAAATATATACAAGCATTTTACCTTTTCCAGAACTAAACATTTCTTCCATAAAAATATTAAATAGCCAAGCCCTATAGAACTAGGGCTGGGACTACTTAAAATATAACTATTCTGTATTTTAAAAATATAGGGCAGAAAGCCTTTGGGTGATATTTATACATTTTCACACAATATTTCTAGGTCCCTAAATGAATCATCAAGCATTATATAGAACCAAAAAGTCTACTTTCTTACATTATCTCATAATTTAATCTCATAAATCTCTAGTAAATATTGCAGATAACTACATTTCAATATGAGAATTCACCTCTATAGGAAGTTTTTATAGAAGGCTTTATTTCCACATAGCCATATATTACCAAAGGTCAGACATATAATGAATGGGTAGTTGGCAGACATTCGCTTTGTAAGACAAAGCAATTGTGTTTTTTCCCCCCTACCAACAAAAAGGCAGAGAGTCTCTACTTTGGAAAAAACTAGGGCTTTTAGAGACCATATTATGTATATTTCCCGGAGTATGTAGAATAAAAAACAAAATAAATATAGGGTTAGAGAGAGCCTACTCTCCCCTTTTACATTGACAATTTCTGGATAAGGCAATCCTTTCACACATATAAGTCTATTTTATGATGGCAGTGTTTTAGATACATGAGTTTAAAAATGCTTTTGTTGTTGTTACAGGATGTAAATGAAGAGTAGTAAGGGATTAAAAAATTTCTTTCCATATGGAATAACGGTTTGCTACTCTCTGCTTATTTTTGGCTTATTGCTACTTGTTCATGCTCTGCTACTGAAACTGTCA